CTTATATCATTTGAGATGAAGGGTAGGATAAACGGGACCCTTCTATCGCTAGAGTTGTCGTTTGGAGGCCTACGATTTCCTCTACACCTATCCTGAGCTACAGTTTCGTAGCCATTAAAAACGGCTATTTGCCGTGCCAAGTTCCGGGACTCCTCTCTCTGCTCTCTTCCCGTGCACACGTTGGTTGCTGTTCGAAACATGTTTCTTATAAGCGCCCTTTTCGTGTGAGAGGGGTGAGAGGAGAGGTAATGAACCAAGATATTTTTACTACTTGGCTTTCGGTACCACTTTGTAATGTAGCCATTTTCTGATAGGTGAATTTGTACGTTCAAAAATGGTAGCCATTTTTCTTTCGGCTTTTCTCGGGTGAACTTGATATACTCTGACTGTGCGTTTAACAATTCGAAGCATTTGTCCATTTCCTCTTGTGTTGAGCAAAGGACAAAGCAGTCGTCTACATACCTACAGTAGAGTAGCGGCCCGAGATCAGTCACTGGTGCTTCCACCTTAGACATAAATGCATGCATACGATTTCGAGAAAATGTGGTGTACGTCAGCAGGACTCAACAATCACTAGTAAAGCAGGTGATAAATGAAATAAACCTGATTGATTGTTGAATCTTTGATCATTTCTGAAAACATCACGTGCTGAATTCTGCAAGACAAAGAGTTGAAACACGCAACTCTGGAGCTTCGAATTAAAGCTGAAAGGCTTTTTTGTGCTTTTTAGGAAGAATAGCAGGGAAGCAGAAAGTGTGGATGAGAACAGGAAATTGCTTTTGTAGGCTCACAGGTTCTCTTCTAAACCAGGTCAGATGTGGTCTTGACTTTGTTAACGTTTCCTTCGCACACTTATTCAGTTTCATGCTATGAATTCGAATTCCAAATAACTTCAATGTCAAAGGAAAGGCCATTTAATCATTGGAGAGACGAACTTGTAGCTGTAACGAAAGCGAGGCTTTCTACAGATTATTTCTGCTTGCTGCTGGTTTTTCTATAACCTTATAGAGAATCCTTGCACTGCGGAAGTGGTCTGAAATAGTCTTCCAAAGAAACTCAAGACACAATTATCTGTAAATGCCCCAACATTCGGAATGTTCAAGACGTTCCAGAAGTCATATAGCCACGCTTCGGGTCCGCACACTGCACCCTCAGTCGATACATACAAAGAGCGTTGTGGACTGCTTTTTTATGAACAACAATGAAATAAGTGTTTTTGAAGAAATGAAGTAAGAATTGCACTACGAGAAGACGATTTGAAGAGGATGGCTGTTTTGGTGAAGGGTGTGTGTGAGTGGGCGCGTACGTGTGTGACTGTATGTGTATGTGAGTGTGTGTTTTGTCCGTTAGTTTATTTGTTTGTTTGTTTGTTTGTTTGTTTGTTTGTTTGTTTGTTTGTTTGCTTGCTTGCTTGCTTGATTGATTGTGTGTATATACACCAGCGAATAAAGAAATTGATTCGTCCTGAAGTAGTCGTCAAATCCAAACCCGTCTCCTCTATGGATAACTACTGAAGGTCAATGAAAAACGAATGAAAGAAGTACTGGGACTCGCGTGATTTGTGAAGAATGTTTCCTTAAGTTTCTAACTAGATTCGTTGGTTTATTTTCAACACCTAAATGCATAGTGAAGGATGTGTACTCTGAGCAATGAATGTGAAATCGCTGCGAACGAGGTAATGAAGAAGACAGGCAAGGAATGAGAAAGAGAGCTGGAAGATCGAATCGAATAAGGCCTTTGGATAGCTGAACTCAGAAACTCGGACCGAAAGAATGAATGTAGTTAGGAAAAAAGCTCTTGAAGAAACAATCCAACGATTAGGAATAATGGGCGTGAGGCATTAATTCAGCGTTTTTACTATCTCGTGTCTAGTAGGGGATGGAATTTCACATAGTAGACAGTCGTGAAAAAATAATAGAGAGCAAGTTAAATCTTTTACAATACAACAAATGATTGGTAGATGAAGAGAGGTCGCGCAAAATGAGTAACAGCTTCATTCGATGGTACATCGACATTGACGCATGGACGCAGTACTGAAGCGTAGAGAAAGGAACGAGGAAAGAGCACGAAGTCTGTAAGAGGACAGCGGTACTTCTTAGACGCTAACTTCACGTGGACTCATGAATTAAGCGCACTATTGAAATACTATCGAGCATCACTGCTGTCCCATAATGAGCTTTCAGACGCCCTACTGACTGCAGATTGATTTTGTACATCAAAATAAAGTGCTGTAACAACGAACGGCTCCGTAACAGACTCGCTATTGTGATTCACGTTGTGCAAACTACCCAACAAAGTTTGGGTGTTGACGAGATGAGCTGGTATTTGCTTACGGTGTGAAAGCGCTCCCCTGAGTAGACAGCATGCCTGTTTCACCTTCGCCGAGCCCAAAGAAATCGAATACGCCATAATGTCAGCTACTGTTAAATAAATTTTGTTGCTGAAGACCTCAGGCAGCAAATAACGCAGTGGTAGTGGTGCCGCCCATCACGAGCGCGGTGTTGGTTCGACCCTGCGTTAACTCTCCAGGCTTCTCATCCTTCTGGGGTAGAGAAATGCTAGAAGACATGTGGGAAAGATTGGTTGTATTCAGGCCAAATGAGAACGCTCTAGATGGCTTACTCAAGACTACCGTAAGAGTGGACTCAGTGAGGATTAAACGACATTCATGACGAAACAAACGTGGGAAGCAGTAGTCGAAGCTAGACGCGAAGGCTTAGAAATTCTTCGTTGCTGACGAATGCAATGAAAGCTTGTGGTAACTATTCCTGAAATAGTTCCTATTTCTATACTATCTTATGTCTTTTACAATAACTGTTTTACTGGTAGCCGTTATACAACAATTATTGCACATACCGTAAATTGCCTCGCAACGACCGTTTAAAACATTTTCCTTGCAGTTGCCTAAAAAGTGATGCCGTAACTTTTTTGTATGAACCGCCCTTCCTTGTTCGACGATTCGGGCACGGAATAAGCCGCCTTCAGCTGCATGCACTTTCAAGAATCGGACGTTCCAATGCACTCTTCGTATGACACCTGATCGCTGTTACATTCACTTCCTTTACAAGCCTTTGTATGACCCTCATGAACTCTCTGTACAAGAAATTGTGCCAACTGAAAAAGTACATCACTTCTCTTTGAGCACTGTCTCTGATTCCCTCTGTAAACCACGCCCATTACAGACAGGATAAAATGAGCATCGTCAAACATAAACCAGTGCTTGTATTCCAATATTCCAGTACTTATCTTCCAGTCCTCCAGCTCTTGTTTTCCAATTCCTTAATGCTCCAACCCCTGTGCCCACCAGACTTCCTTCAAGTGCTCCACTTGTTCTCATTTCAACCTCGCTCGTATCCGCCCTGCTAACTATATGTCATCACATTGCTATTATTGTACTGTTGTTATTGCTATAAACTATTAAAACCGAAACTCGAATTTGTTCAGGGCAGTTATGGAAATAATACCCCGTGGCGAATTCATACAATTTCGATCATTCCACCTACAGTTGGAGGACAAGAGAAAGATCCGACGATCTCTCTATCACACTGGTAAACTAGAAGAAGCCCAATGAATGAAGAAAGTATGGGTTCCTCACAGCAGATGTAAGGGAAGGGTCGTAAAAATCAATATCAAAATAACTTCACTACGCTTTACCTTTTACTTTCTGCCCACTACAGTTTTCACGGCAGGGTACTAAACGAAATACAACCACAACGTTGCTGAGATATTTGCAAAACTCGGGTCCGCAGGTGTCTATGGTGGGAAACAAACACGGGATTGTCCTTTCCGGTGAGTAACGCGTTCACCACCACACCATGCGGGTCCTTCGTTTCGCCTGTCTCTCAGCTAGTTCTATCGATCAGCGCCATCAGCAATCACCCGTCAACGATACTAGTACCCTGCCGTGAAAATTGCAGTCAGCAGAAAATAAAAGCTAAAGCATTGTGATTTCAACTACAGTCTCAGCATAACTGGGTTCAATGCCGATGTGGGCTCCCCAGATCAATCCCGTTGACGGGTGATTGCTGATGGCAAAACATCGATAGAACTAGCCGAGAGAAAGGCGAAATGAAGAACCCGCATGGTGTGGTGGTGAACGCGCTACG